TCCGTCCTTACCCCCGTGGAGGGTCCCCCGTTCCTCAATATTGCAAATCCCTGACCCACATCACTAAAGCTTTTGCCCCTCCTACAGTCCTGAAACGCCTTTTCCCTTGAACACTTTTCTTCACATTCCCCTCCGTTTCCATCTTCACCAATGGGTCCAAGTCTGCAGACGGTGTACGCTACTGTTGTTTTTCCTGACCACACTGTGTCGCCTGCCTCCGGAGATTAGCATCTTCACGGCAGATCTTTATGCAATTCTCTATGCTCTTCGTCTCCTGCTTTTTTTGCTGTCAATCCTCCTTTGTGGGTACAGTTGACTCTCAGTGCCCTCATGGCTCGAGTCCTTTAAATCCAGTCCATCAGCTGGTAGTTGAGATTCAACATTGGCTGTTTCTTATTAGTAGATTTAAATCTACTTATCAGTAGATTTTAGACAGTGGAGTTTTGCTGGGTTCCCAGCCCTATTGTTCTCTTTAAATGAGCGTGCAAACGCTGCCGCTAAGTAAGCTATCCGGACTTGTCCCATCTCCCATAAAGGTATTCCGTATTCCAACTTTTACCCAGTTATTCATTCCTCCATTCTTACCTGTTGGCAGGGTTGTTGGTCTTCTGTTACTGGTAACAAACTGCGTTCTCTTAAAGAGTAATGTCCCTGTGGCCTTCCTCCTACCATCGTAACCGGTGGCGAGAAACGGCTCTGGCAAGGTTGTATATTGGCCATATGCACTTAACTCACGGACACTTAATGGAGCGCCGCCCTGCTCCTTATTGTCCTAACTGCATTGTTTCCCTTACAGTTGTGCATATCCTTGTTCAATGTCCTGACTTCCAGGACGAGCGTGTCTTGCTTTCCGACCGTTCCCCGCGGTCACTTCTCCTTCGATAGAATTCTTGGTGAATCTGATACTTTTTTATATCGTTCGCCTTATGCGTTTCTGTTCACATATTGGCATCCTCAGTGATATTTAGCGCCTTCTGATTACCCTGCACATATGATGGTTTTACATAGCCTTCCTGGCTTGGTGCCTTCTTTGATAATTACTTACTTCATCAGAGACGGCACCACTCCCGTGCTAGGTAAGTCCACTACGGGCTCACCATAGCCCGTACTACTTGGAACCTGTTCCGAGTAGCTGAATCTATAACAACAACTTACTTCATCGGAGGACCTATTACTATTTTGAAGGTAGGCTCCTCCCACGGTGGGGAACAAGTGTAGTTTTGGTGCGGATGATCACCTCTATCAAGAATCATGATTTTTAATTGTAGTCTGTTTAGGACTTCCCGCTCTGGCAGCCCAAGAGTTGCCATTGTTTTGGCAAAGTCCAACCACCAAGGCCTGTTGTATTGGGACTGGATGAGGAGAACTTATCTAACTGATAATCGCAGCTGCTCTTTGATTCATTCTTGGAGAGGAGCAAACCGTTTCCAGTTTGTTTCAATTCTGGTCCACATGGGGGGGGCTCCCAGGGCTATTTTGTGCTACTTCGAGCTTTTCCCCACTTGTGATTGGCTTAAGAGTGCAGTTGCTTCATAGTAGATTACTGATCTAAATGCCTGTACGAAGGACTTGCAGATTGGCTCCTCCAACGAGGGAGGTTAGCGACCCGAGGATTGGCAACACACGAGCATAAGATATGCTAGTGAAAGAGGAGAGATGGCGGACTTTGTATCTCGCCTCAGGAAAAGAAACAATTGCGGTGCTTCAAATTGAGGTCTTCCAAACATTTGTAGTTTATATACGTGCAGAAGGTAGGGTGGGCGTCACCGTAATTGAGGCAGTGAGCCTGGAAAGAAGAGCACTCTCTTAGTGACCAGAGTCACCCCTCATGGGGCATACACTGCAATTGTGCATTTGAGGGTACCATGCTCAAATTTCCAGCACTTATTGCAAAGTCTAGGAGAGGGAATGTACTCCTAAGTGGAGCATCTGGCACCAACAAGAATTATAGCAGGTGGAAAGGTCCAACTATCAAAAGTGATCTTCACAATGTGTAGAAGCTGATGACCATGAGGGGGTCGAGTGAACATAACCTGTAGGACTGAATGACCTTGGGCTTCAAGGATTTGTTTAATATCCTCATGGCAGTCTTTCAGGTCCCTAACACCAGTCGCAACATGGTGCAGTAGGATAACTGCCAACACTGGCATTTAACCGGGCATTTTTGGAGGCCCCTAAATGGGGTAGGGGGGGGGGGTCTTCTCAATGCTGGACAATATGGCTAAGCAGGTAGCTGCATCCTGAGGAGCAGCAGCAATGACACTTGTACCAATACAGGTGGGGTTAAAAGTAAGAGGCATCCATCTAATCAACGAGATGTTAATGAAGGAAGAAATCTTCAGGACGTATAGAATCCAGATGGTTGAGATTAAAGTATTTAGTCCATGTAGCTGGACCAAATAAGGTGTGGAACGTATTAGCACTGGAAGGAATCTTACGAGTGCGTCTTGAAAAGGGGGGGGGGGAGGTTAGCGTCAAACACCCCCAATGAAAGAGGAGGGGGGGGGGGTAAAAGGCGCAGTTGTCACAATGAGAGAAGTAGCCACTCCAGATGATCACCACTGGGGGCTTGGGGCTCATCCCTACCACAGGAGGGGGGGGGGGGGTAGTCAGGAGGGACAAAGGAGTAACTTTGTCTGGGCCCAATGTAGTGAGGGCTACAGAGCCTGGTCTTCCAACAGTCCGACTCGGGGATTGGGGGTGCACCTGGTCGCCCACCCCACGAGCCTGGGAAGTTATACAAGGATCATTCAGCATCAGCAGAAACTAGTATGTAATAATTACATTCCATGGTGGGTATGGGGGCTAATTCGTGAGACAATTAGAAGATAGGATACCTGACAAGACAGACCCCCACCCCCCTGCCCCACCCCCAGGGGTGCATCATGAGTATACGCCCTGCAATCGGCAATCACCACCTTAAGAACATCAGTCCGTCGGGATCAGTAAGGAAGGCGAGGATTGGCAACCGTCCCCTCACTCACAGGCAATGTGATGTCATAGTTGCCAGAATACGCCTGGGATATAGACGTATCTGGCAGCTTTCTCAAAACCCAAATGTCGAGTACACAATGTGTCAACTTTGTGAAAGAGAAAACATGCACTCTTGAACATTATATTGTAGAATGTCCCATATTGTCTGACTTTCGCCCTCCTGGGCTGAGGTATGCTGAACTCTAACTACTATACGAGTACTGGAACACTTGATATATTGGACTTGTACCCTAGATTAACCATGTAATGTAACTATATAACCTGAGCTTGTAAAAGCATCTTAATCACCTTCAGTGGTTAAGTTCTTAATTGCACACTAGTTTCTCTTGTCAGCTATCTCACCCTGTCAGGGTAAAAGACAAACGTGTGTGTGTGTGTATGTATGTATGTATGTATGTAAAGTAAAGCTGATCAGAATTGCATTTCACCATTATAAATTCACATTAATGCATTCATAAATCTATGTATATGTATTTACGTATGTAGCTGAGCCTAACATTTTAAAAGCACTACGATCACCTTCTGTGGTTGTTCAATAAATCTCTGAACTGTATGTTTGACAAATCTCTCACCCTGTCCATGGAGGACAGAAGAAAATGTATATATGCTAGTTAGCATTGTAAATGTGTGGCCACGTCTGGTAGAAAATAATAATAATAAAATAATAAAAAAAATAATAATAATAAAAACTCACAATGGATACCACAGTTCTATGGGCGAGTGCCTCCCCGACCACCCGGCGTAAAAATAGATGTCCGAAAGAATAATCTTTCGACTCGGTGGGAAAGAATTAGAAGAGGGGTGGGGAGGTTGGGAAGGAAAAATGAAACTTAAGAGGAAATAGCAACCAGCACAATTAGTGAAGACGGCAGCAGGAGCACAAGGCTTCAAAAGGATTGAGCATCACAGCTCGGCAGCCGCCCACTAAGCCTCCTCATGACAACAGGCTGGAAAGAGGGGGGGAGGGGGGGGGGGCACCACACTAGAAACATACCTATTTGATATTCCAAGAGTGCGACTTAAACTAAAACTGCTCTGCAAATCTTGGGACCCAGAATGTGGAATGACTTTCGCAATCATGTCAAATTGAAGAGAAAAATTAAGTATTACCTAATAAACTATGTAACCTACCTTACCTCCTAAATGTCAAACTATTATCTAACAATATTGATTATTGACCAACTTTTTTTTTAACTGCCGATATCCGCCATGTATAAACTAATTAAATTGTAGTCTATAGTTAAAATTACTTTTGCTGTTTAAATTTTTTGTTCTATTCATTATTACTATTTTTTTCTTTTTGTCAATTCAATTTATGCTTTGATCTCTTCGTTTTAAGTTTTAGTCTGTTTCCCACACATTGCCCGAAACTGTGCATATTGGTCTCTTTAGGCATAGTATGTACAAGCTCTAAAAATCCAACATTGTAACATCTTTTATTCAGGTAAAAGTGCATACATATATAGATTAGATAGAACAGAAAAAAATAGTTTAAAAAAGGTACACACATTTCCTGTCCAGCCTGGCCCCATTACCAGTTTTGCACGGCTCAGGCAGGAGCCGAGGGATACCACTTACCGGGCCTGCAAAGGCGGCAAATGCTTGTCGATGCACTTAAGGGCGTTGTCCCAATCAGTGCTCCTCTTTTAAAACAGTCCTATGGTATTGTACACTCTCACGCCGGTTCAAAGTCTTCTCCATCTTGCACCATCCCAGACTCAAACCTTCCTCTGAAAGCAGCTCCCTCACCGGAAACCCTGCCAGTTGGTGGTCCAATGATCCTAAATGACAACCTAGGTTGATCTCCTTCACAAGTACAACACCCAGAGCAGGCATGAGGCGGGGGGGAGGGGGCCCCAAGCCATCCCCAGCAGCTCCAGGCGGCCACAAACTTGCACCTTTATGTAGCAAATAATCAACTTTTGTATTGAAATACTTACTACCACTATACTTAGTTGCTAATAAAGTATGAAGAAAACAGACTTTCTAGGTTATTAACAAGAAAAATTTATGATCCCTTTATTCTTACACGACTAGTGTACAAGTGTGCTAACATTCACAAAACCATTAAAGATAATTCACATATTCATCTTGGCAATCACTTCCATCTTGTCGAGAGCAGCAGTGAAGGCGTCAAAAGCCGCAGCAACATGCGACTCGAGGCCAGTCCCAACTTCACGCCGCCGCCTCACTGATCTCTCACCAAAGGCATGGTCGAAGAACTTTATGACCGGTTTTCTAGTGGGATCGAACAACGACACGAAGAGCAGCACACCACCGAGTAGGAAGCCAGCCACACTAAAACAATCAGGGGGATGAGTAAATTAACACATCAGCAAAGCTACATTGCTTAAAATGTTCTTACACTAAAATGGTAATAATTATATCAAAAGTGTGGACGATAGTCACTTTGAACTGTTTTATAAGATAAATATGAGCATGGCAGTAGTTTAAGGCTGTGTGTAAACAATAGGAACACATTTAGCCTGGGAAAGGGTGAGCGGGATTTATTGTAAAACATCCAAACGTACTTCACTTTTGCAGTTGTCTAGAATCTAGATCACACTAATCTGTGCATTATACATAGGGTGTATGATTTTGTAGTTAAATTAAAAATTTGTACAGAGTTGCCAATAGTGTACGGCATTTCGGCCAAACCTAAAAAGATTACTTGATAAGTTACCAAAATATTATTCCTCAAACGTAACTAGAAATTTAACAATTTGAACTCTTGATAATGCTGAAGTAGACTACTACTTTTAGACATCATAGCTTTAAGTGAACTATCCAAGTGACAATGTTTAAGTGACCACGATAAAGTCAAAACATGCCCGAAAAACATGCCTAAATTTCTTGCCCGAAACGCTATTCGTATTAGTAGCTTTAGGAATTTTATGCACAAGCTCTTTCTATATATCCTACATTATGATTGTAACATGTATGTACTTTTTCCTGAATAAAAAACATTTAATTTAAAACGTATGAACACGCTGGCTTCCTGTCCCGACAATGAATTATTATTATTAGTAGTAGTAGTAGTAGTAAGGCAAAGTATGGGTGTTATTTGATACACAAGACTGATTCGACGAAGCTAGTTTCCCCCTTAGTTTAAAAATATATATATTGTTAGGCTAGGATGTATTCACTTAGGTTGCATTAGTATGTTGGTCCAGGTTTTGCTTATTAAACCACAATTGGGAGGCAATTCCACAATATTGGATTCTTTAATTTTTGTTTTGGATAAGTTACGAAATTTCAGGTGCTTTGAGTGACTAGTTCCATTTCACCCCTTTAAGTAGCATTTCAGTTTGTAATTAAAAACTTTTAAAGTAAACTGCAGAAACGTTATTGATCTTAAAGACAGCTATTTATACCCACTCTTAATAAAGAGCAAAGTTCTAATTTTTCAGAGTGCGTCAATTAAATAGCCTATGAAGTTATACTATTACAAGCTTGGTTCTGCTCAACCCTTTACGATGCCTTAACCCTATTCTTCTACAATACTGTGTAGGCTCTAACAGCTCTGAGTAGCTATTAGAGAGTAGGCTCTAGCAATCATCGTTAATGTCATCTGCAGTTTATTCATTCCTACAAACATTGTTGGCAGACAAACTAAAGCATAATTGAAGCCTTTCACAGCCTAAATGGAATGAAGATTCCATCACTTACACTAATATAGACCACCAAAGGTCAACGGTATAAAATTGCAAATTTATACAAATTTTTAAGGAAAATTATCAAATTTTAACAAATTAAAAATCTACCAACAATTTTTGTACCCGTGTAGACGGTCAGTACTTTAAATGACTGTACATTGATAATCAAATTACCAGAAAATTTTAACCTTCAATCACTGTGGCACAAATTGCTTCGCAATAACTTGCGATCCTCGTCTCCAATCTTTCAGAACTTCTGCTTTATATAATTTTTTATCTGCTTGTTATAGCAAGGGAAGATTTTAATGCTTTAACTTATTCAATATACTGTACTGACCAGCCACAAATTGCAGGGCATTGATGCTCTGCTTCATTTACATTAATTATCCTGCCGGGAGTCAAGATTTAAAGCTGACTGCCTAATATAAAAGCTTAGCTTGGAATGTTACAAAATCTGCGTATTTACCAGATATTTCTAAAATAATTTAACTTGGAAACTAGGTTATAATTAAACCTAGAAACAAACTTTAATACGAGTTTCTCAGAGCCGAACAGTTAAAAAAACTGCTTACCTGTAGACGACGTTGCCGACTGTGGAGTCTGATCTAGCCAAGGGGACGTCTGTCCGCAACCTTTCCAACTCTACCTTCGTCTTGTTTGCTCCGTGCTCGTCAAGAGGAACACCCATACCCTAGGCAACCCCAATCACCATCACCATTAGTAGTACACTGAAAAAAATATTACCTTTTGAAGTTACAGCTCAAACTAATCTACACACAAGTTATTCAGGTATTTTGAATCTTATTAAACCCCTGTATATTCTTTACAGGTTTTAAATAAAAATCATTAATTATTATTTCAGGGCAACACCTGGTGGGTTTGATGCTCCCTGGATACTAGTCTGGGAGATGTTGAAATGAAAATTAAGAACTAATGCAGACTAACGTCCGCATTTTCAGCCACATACTAAGAATTATAAATTGAGTAATTGCTGCGCAGAATAAAGGGTTTCGAATCTCCTTGGTATGGGTATCACACAAATATAACCCATAATAATGACAGACATTGCAGCCAAATTAGCTTTTAACAAGATCATGTTGAATTAGACCTAGGTATCCCCATCTCGTCAAAACTATATTGTTCCAAACACACTGATCTGATTGGGGAGAAATTCCCGACTCCCAATGACCTGAAAGCACCAGTATAAAAAGCTTTGATTTGTTCAGATCTGAAACCTATGTTTATGGGCAGCACAAAACGTCCAGACTGTGCTATATTGGTTGCCAGGATCAGGTTAAGTTACCGTTACCTGTGGCAGTCATGACGGGATAACCACGCGTCTCCTCTGGTCCATACTGCTCAGGGTTGCTAAAATGTTCTATCTGCGGTTGGCTAGCCGCTCCCTGCCACGTCCTTACCGGGCGTGTAAAATGGTGCCGATTCCTAAGATTTTTAGGCCAGGAAACATTTCCCCCCCCCCCCCTCACACTATTGCCCCATTATGATGTCTTCTACGATAGTGCGGCCGTTTCATTAGATCGTAAACGGCCGAATTTCTCAAGCTATCAGGATCGACGAGAGGTAGAAGGCGTTCATTCCTGTGGATGGATGCGCTGAAAACCTGGCGATCCTAGATCTTCTGGCTGAGGTCCAAGTGCTGAAACATCCTGTGCACCTTGACATTGAGAAGGCTTTCGACAGCGTCCCTCATGCAGCCATCGATCGGCCCATGGAGCGCAAGGAAATCATAGCCCGACATAATATAATCCCTAAGGGATGGCGCCTCGACAGTCTTAACCAGTCAAAAGGAGAAATCTAAGGTAATCCCTGTGACTAGGGGAGTCAAACAGGGATTGTCCCTTGTCTTTCTTTTCAATTTGGCGATTGATGAGGTAGTTGCCAATACGTAGAAACTGGGCCTGGGGATTCGTCTGGGGGGAGTAAAAGGTGTCAGTACTAGCATTTGCAGACGAGCTGGTCGTGGCGGCGGAGACGCTGGCCGGCCTTCAGGTATTGATAGATGTTGTGATACATTGAGTGGCGCTGTCTTGAGGGTCAACGCAGGAAACTGCCGATCACCGAGCCTACAGATTGATGGCAAATGCAAGAAATGGTATCTCTTTGCAAACGAGGTTCCATGTCGAGGGCGCAGCCATGGACTATTTGTATCACTGACGAGTACAAGTACCTTGGTATTCTCGTTGGTGACGGTGGCAGGGGCATCATTGGTTCTTCTTCTTGTTGATAGTAGGTGCAGTTTGCATGAAGGGTTTGTTCTCCTGATGACTGCACCAGTACTGATGTTGTTGGACGCGTTTATGTTGAAGATGATCGGAGCTACCAAGGTGCTTGTTGCGTTGTGCTGTAGATAGAGGAACGGTGATTAAAACAGAGGTGTGTGTTGTAGGGAGACTTGCCGCACCGTAGGGCGGTGTGTTGTGTTTATGGCGTCAGCTGATCCTTTTTTTGGTGCTGCGACGAGGCAGTTGTTTTCTGTGTTTAGCTGTTGGTGGCGCCAGGTATAAATGTGGCGCGGGTCAGATGTGACCCAATTTGTTGGTCGACTGCAGATATTTAGCCAGTGCTTTGACTATTTGGTATTTTTCATGTAACGAGCGGTCACCACCACCTAATATATGCTCGATGGTGAAGGGTATTTTAAGTGCGATAAAGACTTGTTTGAAATTTACTCTGGCACTATGATGTCGGAAGCAGTGAAGGAGATAGTGTTCGACTGTTTCAGGCACCTGACAGTGAGTACAGAGTTCATTGATGTCTGTTCTGTACTTAGAGCTGTGTGCTGCTAGTTTGGTGTGTCCCAGCCTTAATCTGGTCATCGTTACATCAATTTCTCTGCTTTTATATCGGACATGTTTCCAAGTTTCCCATTTCTTTTTAATGGACCCATAGTGCAGAGTTCACTGAGGAGGGTCTTATTATCACGCAGGCCCCCCTCAAACCTCCGAGGTTATATGTGCTGAAAAACCACCTCGTTCCTAAACCACCACCGTATTATTCTGGGCGTGGTGTACAAAACTGAGCTAGCGAGAATCGACCGGAGGATGAGGCAAGCTATCCGTAGTTGGCTCCGTTCACTTCACGACAATAATAGGCTTCCATCAGTCTCGGGAGAATATGGAGTTGCACTCTGGTGTCGGCCTGGTCTGGCGTTGCCTCACCAGGGGGCAAAACCATGGAAGGTTGATTCGGGGGAGAAGCTATTACCCAGGCAGCAGGTCCCCCCCCCCTCTCCACGGTGCTGAAAGTCTTCAATGGAAAGACATGCGCCAATACGATTGGTTCCAACGCCGTCGCAGGAACCGAGAGTTCCAGGGTTAGGTTAGGTTCTGTAGGTTAGGTTTTTCACCCTTGAAGTTGGTGAAAAAGGCCACAAGGACCTCCAACCCCGGAGACCGCCGTAAACGTGGCCGGAGAAGAACCACCCCATCAAGGGTATGAACGACCCCAGCCTCCTGAAGCAGAGCCTGGGCCGCACAACCCTCGGGAGGTGGACGTCCCGGTCCCGCACCTACGTGTTCCAGATAAAGATCGTCACAGCCCTCTTTCACCCGAGGCCTGCCTCTTTCAAGACCAAGAAGTGATAATTATTAAATATTTATATTATAATAATTATAATGGCTCCATTCACTGCACCACAATACAATAATATACAGGATAAGATACCCATTAGGTCGAGCCTTGAAGTGCGAACAGTAGAAGAGAAGTCGGCAAGAGGAAATGCTGAAGTTGTAAAGAAAGTGCCAGGGCTTGATCCAGCTGTGTGTCTTAAGTCTATGCTGAAACAACCCCACAACTGGCAAGGCTTCAAGGGTCAGGAAGAGCGGCAGTGGCGGTGCTTCATTCCAGGTGGTGACAGTGCCTTATGGTGGTGTCTTTCTTTCACCTATTTCTTCTTTCTTCGTGTTATTTGATGTTTATTCTTGTATTCAAGCGTAGTCCTGGGGAAAAGTTCGGCTGCCAATGTGGATTTATCGCATACCGAGAAGATCGAGTCGTCGTCAACTATTTACTTCACATTAGCTCCTAAATTACTCTAAGTGTTCTTCATACCTCGTGTTAATTAAACGGCTGGTGAGCCGGCTGAATTCAGGAGATCCAAATGCTGAATTCAGGAGAATTCAGCATTCAAATACTGAATTCGGGAGATCCAAATGCAGTGTTGTCACGTTGTTAATATAATTCAGTTACTGCTGGAGAATCAATCATGGCATCTTCCGAGTCTGGGGTGGTGAGTTTCAATGTCAACAGAGGCAGTAGAATCAGAAGACAGATGGAGGTCTGCAGGAGCAACTGATATTGGTGCCGATGCAGGTGATGTAGTCGCCAGTATAATTAGAGTAATAGGTGGTTGGTCTGGAGTGGCAGTTTGCAGAGGTAATGGAGCTGTTGCAGAGGGTGGGCGTCAGTAGACAGGAGATCTGCCAGTGCAGCCACTGCCACCGCTACGTCTGCCAGTGCAGACGTAGCGGTGGCAGTGGCTGGAGCTGTAGTTGTGAAGAGTTCCTCAGGAACATTAAAGGTTGGTAGACCATTGGAAGCATATAGTATGTTTAGAATTCGTGCGAATTCCTTGCAGTTCCTGCCTACCACCATTTCAACCAGGTGGACGAGTCCGAAGATGGTACTATGATCGATGTTGGGGAACAACTGGTGTGGTGAAGGCTGGCTTGTTGATTGGTCAGAGGCTGTGGCTGTTGCGGCCGAGTCGATGATTGGTTGGCGGACTGGGAGCTAAACCCCCCATTGGCGTGCAGGCTGTACAGACGCTCCGCCCCCGCCTGGAAGCTCAGGGAAGTTGGCGGCTCGCATGTTGATATTTGATGGTGCATGGTGAGTGGTGTTGGTCTGCCTGGCGTCGAACATCTGTATTTCTTCACGTTTTCGGGGGCACTCTGCGGCGACGGCAGTATGTTCGCCATCGCAGAGAAGGCAGTGAAGATATTCGTTCGTGCAATTTTTTGAAGTGGTGGTTCCCAGTGCACTTGCTGCACCGTTGGTCCCGAGATGTACAGTTCTTTGTGAAGTGATCGTAGCCAACACTTGTAGCATTGCCGAAGCCGTTAATAGTGTTCTTTGGTGATTACACAAATTGCAATAGCGTGATGCATCAAATGAACAAATCCACAAGGGCCGTGACGAGGATTCGAACCTGGGGGAATTTCGTAAAATCCTGGTTTGTGTCTGAGAGGCTGAAGGGTCCAGTAAGGTCATTTAACTTCTGGTTTAAATTCTTTTAATAGTGTGGTAGCTCAGTGGATAAAGGTAGCGTCTGGGATGCTCTCAGACGTAGGTTTGAATCCTCGTCACGGCCCTTGTGGATTTGTTTCTTTGGTGATCTGTCGGGGGGGGGGGGGGGTGCTAGCGATTCCAAAGCACCGGAAGCCGTTGGTAGTAGCAAAGGTAGCTTCCTCAGGCGATGTGAAGGTGACCTTCATGGTGGAGAGGTGGCTGTCATGTATAGATTGATTGATTAAGATTAAGCCACCCAAAAGGGGGCACGGGCATGAATAGCCCCTAAGTGGAGGCCCTTTGGAGTCATTACTAGTACCAATAGCTGGTACTTGGGATCTGTGGATGGATGGGATCTTCATGGTCGCTTGCAGTTTATGACCCGCAGGAGGCTTAGTCGCCAGGTTGCAGTTTAATGTGCTAAGCGACGCTTTATATCTGAACAGAGCAACGTCGGCAGTTTGGTACCATCAGGATC